GGGGTGAGCAAAGGCATCTGCTCTAACCAGGATATGGAGGGGAGGAGCCCCTCTGACACTGACTCTGCAGCACCAGGCAGGTAGTGAGCCCCTCTCATGCGCAATTCCCTTTCCTATAAGTAACCAGTATCTTTCTGTCGGGCACTGGGCCCAGCACTGGCACTCATCACCCCATTCACTCCTCACAAGCACCTGTGTGGTAGATACAATCAACACCCACCTTGTAGATATGAGGAAACTGAGGCATAAAAATTAAGACATTTTCCTAAGATCACGCAACTAATGAGTGGTAGATTTAGATATAAAATCCAAGTCTATGATCTCAAGCACTTTGCCACAATGCCCTTTGAAATGTGGATGCACCAACCTTGAAGGGCTCTAGTAAGAATTAAGTGAGAACATAACCTGCACATCATCTGGCACAACGCCTTCCCTGTCGTAGGCGCTCAGCCAGCGACAGGCAGTGTACACAACCTTGGGGGGTTGGGAGACAGTGTCTGAAATGCACAGGGGTCTATCTACAAAATAAAGCTCAACATTCTCCTGAGCTGCATTTAGCAGATTTTACGTATTATAAGTATTCACACTATCATGTTTCTAATGGTTATGGAAAATCAGTTCATTCAGGCAATATACTGAAAGGCTGGGCAGCATATAATAATAAGAAAAAAGTACACCAAGCAGCGTTTGCTACAATTTTTAAATATTTTTTTCATTGTTGACTCTTCCAAGATATTTCTATACTACAATAAGGACAGAGCAGTAAATCCAATTTTACTTACTAGAGAAAAACCTCTCAACTTCTGCAAAAAGGCCCAGCTTTCTTTACAAGGCAGCCTCAGCCAGCTGAGATCACCCCAAGTATTATCTTCGTTGTCCTGAAGTCAATCACTTTCACATCTCGAAGTCAAAACAGTAAAGCCAGACAGTTCTCCTGAGTCCCTGTTCTCACTGTTCATAAAGTGGGAAGATGATTGACTTTTTGGTCACTGATACTGCCTCCTACTGTGACCGGGCTTCCCCACCATCTACTCCAGGAGCACTGGAGGGTGGCAGGGAGGTCAGTGTGAGCCTCACAAAATAGTTCAGCAAGACACCAGGTGGCAGTGCTTCAGCTTTCGTTCTTCATACATGCAAAGTAGTAGAGCCTGATTCTCAAAAAAGGAAAATAGAAAGATTTAGAGAGAGCATTCACAAAGGGGTGACATCTGAGCAAAGACATAAAGGGAGTCAGAGGTACAGCATGTGGATGTTTGAGGGGGTAGCGTTGCAGGAGGAAGAGCAAAGGCAAGGAGCACAGGTCCACATAAGGAAACATGGGTGGAGAGTTTAAGGAACAATATCTCATCCTTTCCTGCAGCCCCTTCTCTCCCCAGCACACCGCCATGTGAGAATCTTGCTACAGCCTTCAGCGCTGTCAACTGGGTAGTGGATGATTTCCTCATCTATTGATCCTGGGGCAATTGGTACCCAGGTTTGGCATCCTCTTTCCTAGTTCCCTTTGGGTTCCAGTTAAAACCAGTAATGTCACCATCACTGAGACATTCCCAGCTGCCTTGTCCTGGGGCAAAGTGCTTTTCCATATGCAAATCTTACACTCTAGGAGCCCATTATGAGGTTACATTCTGGTTGACAGTAACAGTTAGAGATGCTTTTCAAAGTGAGGAACGTTATGTCTCATTTCTCAAAGATACAACAATGGGAACAATAAAACCTATCTCACATACTTTGTGACATTTAAATTAGATAATGAATCTGAAATACGAACTACAGTGCCTGACATATAATGAGCTCAATAAATATCAGCTTTCTTTCTTCTAATAAAGCCTGCCTTTCCTTCAGTGTCCAGGTCTGTGACCTGTTACTAGTTGCTCTTTCCTCCTCATCAGTTCAATGATGGAAGCTTCTAGGAAATTTACTTACTAATCACTTATTTTCCTGGAGACAGTCATCATGTTTTCTTATTCGCTTCCACTCACACTCTCTCAGCTGCGCTGACGCAGTCGGGCTGCTGAGAGGACACAGACGAAGCGCTCAGTTGAGGTTTTACTTTCATTCCCCTGATGAAGGATAATATTAAGGGTTCTGTGTGTTTATTAACTATTGGATATCATATTTCTGAAGAAGATTTCAAGATTTTGCCATTCTTCCTAAATGTTTCCCTTTTTTATTGATGTGAATGAGTTTTTAATATATTCTGCCTTAGAGTTCTTTTTCACAAATGTAGGTTGAAATATAATTTACCTAACTATCCATGGATTTTCCACCCTCTTAGCAGTGACTTTTAATAAATATAATTGTAAAATATACTTTCATGTTCATAAGAAGACAACTTGAAAGTTTTGTTTGTTTGTTGTCTCTAAGCACTTGAGAAATTCCCTTGGTGACTTCTGTTGCTTTGGATGAGAAGTCAGTATCATTCTAAATGATGTTTCCCAGAATACAATATACCAGTTATCCCTGAGTACTGGCAAGATTATTTCCACTTAAACAGACCCTCAGATTTGCCTTTGATGCCTTGCAAACTTCTGCCGAATCCACAGCGGTGCACTTGCAGAATTGCTTATTCAACTTGACTGCATTCCACGTACCATCGCTCCTGAACAAGCAGCTTGTTTTATAGAAAGCCAAGCATCGCAGGGAGTGGAGCTGCTTGCTTATGATCAGAGCGTTCAGAATGGGTAGCGGAAGAGGTCGTTATAAATACCAGCCACAATCATGTAGCCATTTGCACAAACAAGTGCTATGATAGTTGTCAAGTTTTCTTTTTCATTTTGATATCAATGTATTTATGTACACATTAACCACTTTAAACTCTCATCTCCCATTTGCCTGCGTGTAATAAGATGTGCTAACATTCATCAGGCTTTTATCTCATTACATCTCAGGAGTTAAGAAAAAGTTTTCATGGGAGAGTATGACCTCTTTGCAGGAGATGGTTAGCTTGTTTTTGGTTGAATGAGGAATACTTGCATCATATTAGCAGGAAGCATAGTTTTGCTGCTTTATTTGAAAGTAGTGATGCTAAAAAAACTGTACAGAATGATGCCTGGTTAACAAAGAGGTTACTGTAATTGCTTTGTTCTAACTCCATGTAACTATCTGGAAATATATTTCCCAGAATTTGCTTCCCTGTATTGTCCTGAGTTAGGATTGGCCATGAAAGAGACTTGTGCAAGATTTAGAAGGTACTTGTCATGAAGCAGCCATATTTTTCATGCCTTGCTGGCTGGGGCAGGGCCTCAGGCACTGTGGTAGCTCACACGTGTTGCTGCTGGTGTGTTAGCCCAGCTTGTTGACTCACAACTCGTCCACCTCCCACCACACCTCCTCCTCATCTTCTCTTTGTCTTGGACCAAGTGTGCGTGTAGCTGATGGCAAATGACACCCACTGCTCCTGAAGGACACCCACTGTTGTGAGACGGAAGGAGGTGAGACACAGACAGCTTTAGTGTTCCCCTTGTCTGCACTGGTCCTAGTGCGTCCTTACAAGTGACAGCTTGCCC